GAAAACTCGTCTGGATGGGAATACTCATGGTCAAGGTAAAATGAATATGCCAACCGAAAATGAAAAGATGTTTAGGCTCCCGCATGGTGGGAGCCAAAACGTATAGATTTTGAAGAAGGCCCCCGTATGAGAGTCAAGATGCCTTTTGATTATTAAGCTCATTTCGTATTTGGTCGGAGCATTCGTTTTACCTCTCAACATTCAAACATCATGCGTACAATTATTCTAAATGCACTAATATCTCATGCTATTTTTTTAGAATTTTAAGGACACAAAAAATGCTTCCGTTTTCTCAAGTATTAACAGCCCAAAGTACCTCTCTTTGGCAAGGCAGTACCTGATGATTAGCACTTATTTAGAATGAATAGTTTCTAAGATGTAGTGGTGTGCCATCTATTGCACTGCAGTGCTGAGCTGGAAAAGACTCTTGTTCTTCACTAGCTTTAGAATTTCCTACTGCCACGTAGCGTATTGTTCACAGTTTTCACGCGAAGCGCTAATTTGCGGTACGACCACCACATTTATATTTTCGTAGCAGGATCAATATGCTATCCCGACGTGCCTTAAATGGCGTTCTGTTGGCAAGGCATCACTCTGAGATAAGGATTGCGACCAAAGTTTTTAGATACTGTCAGTTGAGTAAGCGCGCGTGGTTGCAGCGGCGAGGAGCGGCCCCCTCCCATATCCGGCGCAGCAGCGGCGGTGCTGTCGCTTTGGGATTATTGGCGAAGGAGCGTCGTCTGCTACCTCTGTATGCGAAACAGCGGGAAATTCGTTTTCAAATACGCGAATTGTAGTTAAAGCAGCTTGATGAGGGCCAAATGAGTACTACGTAGTGATAAATAAGGGCCGCACCTATACCTAAGAAATGTATGATTATTTCTTTGCCTGCAATGACTCAGTGGTGTGGCCAGTGGGTGGCACATCGAGCAAATGCCGTTATCCCCCCCCCCCCCACAAAAAAATCTTTTTGCTTTTGTTTACTGAGCAAAAAGTGACACTCTTCAGACCAAGATCGTGCCCCTACCCCCCGAAAAACAATTCTGGCTGCGCCTCTGCAATAAATGACGTTCATCTGCGCCTTCAGGTAGTGAACGATTCTAAGCGAACGACCCTGTCGTAATGCTCATCATATAAATTGCGTGTTAGAATATATTTAGAAACGGATGTGCTTTTTTTTCTTTTTTGAACAGCTAACGAAAAATAGACAGGCCACATGGGCAGTTTTGCCCGAATCAGCGCCACAATCATGCTGTGCTTTATATCAGTGAGCTTGCAAGCTTCACGCTGGCACAGCTGACATAAATGGTATAAATTTTATGTGAAGATGCATTTCATACACAAACTCCTTGGATTGTAGCTAAAATTGTCCGAGGAGTTAGAAGAAGGGCTTCCAAAGTTATGGTAGACTAATTTAAGAAAAACTAGAACACAGTGCAATGGATGACATACAGCCAGTGCTTAAATACAGCCAGTATTTAAATAACTTTTATTTGGAAAAGCTCTTTCACATTTTGTATTTCACACGTGATGCGACGATCAAGCATGCTTGAGTGAATTAGCAGTAGGATAGCAAACATGCGGCCTTGCTGCGCGCCGGGCTGTCAAAGTAGAGACGCCTCCGAGGAAAACATCTGCGATCGGCGGCACTTCTTCGAACTCCAAATAACCGTGCAGTTCCAAGGCCTGGACAGCTGCTATTCTACGAGAAGCCTTCCGGTTATAGTAAAGACCTACATTTCGAATATGAGGATCTCAAGGCCTGGACAGCTGTTATTCTACGAGAAGCCTTCAGGCTATAGTCAAGACCTGCATTTCGAATACGAGGACCTAACCCCTCGCTGCGAGCACATAGGTGGAAACGTCAAAATTCAATGTGGCACTTGGCACTTGAGCCCGGTGCTGTTTCTCGAATTTTCCTGAATATTCCTGCACACTTGTCTAAATCAGCGGCATTAAAGCGCGAAAGGGAACCCCCGAAACTAGAAGAAACCGCGAAGTTTCAGGGCCGTGTGTCAACCGCTGGTGGCGATGTGTCTGACGTTAACATGGAGTACTGCTATGTTGACGAAGCTACTGGCGTCCCCTCTGATTCAGAGTTATGTCCAGAGGTAGCTGCTTGGTTGCCTGCAGTACAAGACCGTCGAAAGTTTCAATCCAGGAATGTCGAGCTTACCCAAGGAGTTCTTTTTTTTTCAAAGTTGTTGAAAACAAAGGTATTGTCGGAATGGACAAGGCAGTGGTGGTAGCAAAAGACTTCACATTTGTCCTCAGTTGTAAGGGGAAGCTTGTTCTCTTGTGTGCATACAGCAAACATGGTTTGGGAAGCCAGCTGAAACTGACGAGCTTGCAGATGGTATCAACTTTTCTCAGTTATGTTCATCAACTGAAAATATACACGGGCTGTCATAGCAGCTGATTCCTTTAGAATTTGACCACAGCATCAACCCCGAGGATCCAAGACGTGTGGAGGATCACTTTCGGACTGTCCCGGAAAGACTTATGCCCACCATGCAAGAACACAAGAAAGAATCGGCAAGCTCAATAGAAAAAAAAAGAGAAATCTACAAAACCAACGAAGCTTCACCATAAATTAAGCTCGACTACTAAAAACTAAAAAAAGACGGTCAATAGGGCCACAGTGTAGGAAAAACGTGTAGAACAACATTCGGAAAATGAAAACACGTCTTTCCAAAGGTTCTACGAGTCTAGTGGGCTAACTGATAACCGGCCTCTCTCCAGCACAACTGATATTCCCGACCTCTTTGAACCGAAATTCGCAAAGTATTCCCTTGATAATTAATTTGTTTAAGGCGTAACGACGTTGGCAGAGGCAGTATGTTCACCTTTCACATCTACCTATATAAGCAGCAGCAGGGCTCGATATTTTAAGGAGCAGACAAGTAATCAGCCACTCGGTTTCGTAGCACAACCATCTAGCTGACATTGCTTTGAAGCTTTCAGCGCAGCACAAATAGCGACTTTGAAAAAAAAAAAAAACTTCCAGGATAAGCTCGGCCATCCAGAATTAGAACATTGTTTGGTCTTGTAATATAGGGAATTAAATTGCTAGCTTTGTAAACAACTCAGGATCGGAGGGGACGCCACTAACTTCGTCAACATCGCCGTTTTCCATGTTAACTTCGACACATAGCCACCACTTGCGGACACACGGCCTTCGAAATTCGCGGTTTCTCTAAGTATCGGTGGTTTCATTTTGCTCCTTGATGCTGCTGGCTTAGACAAGTGCGCAGGAATATTCGGAAAAATTCGAGGTATCGCACCGGGCTTAGGTGTCCACATATACCACATGAAAGTTTCACGTTTCCCTTTACGGCCCCGCCGCGGTGGTCTAGTGGCTAAGGTACTCGGCTGCTGACCCGCAGGGCGCGGGTTCGTATCCCGGCTGCGGCGGCTGCATTTCCGATGGAGGCGGAAATGTTGTAGGCCCGTGTGCTCAGATTTGGGTGCACGTTAAAGAACCCCAGGTGGTCTAAATTTCCGGAGCCCTCCACTACGGCGTCTCTCATAATCATATAGTGGTTTTGGGACGTTAAACCCCACATATCAATCAATCAATCGTTTCCCTTTACGATGTGCTCGCAGCAAGTGGTTAGGTCCTCGGATTCGGCATGTAGGTCGGAAATGTATGGCTCGACTGTCACCAGGAAGGCTTTTCGTGGAATAGCAGCTGTTTATGTTTTGAGAACTGCAGGGTAATTTCGGGGGTTTGAAGAAGTGCCGCCGATCGCGTGTTTTCCTCAGAGGCATAGCCACTTAAACAGCCCGGCGCGCAGCAGGTCGGTATGTTTACTATGTTAAACTGCTAATTGAATGAATCATGCTTGATTGTCGTGCAGCATGTTAAGTACTATTGCGATGACCGACATCTAACTGTCTCTTCAAGCTCCCGCCACTGTGGTCTGAGCAAGCAAACTAAAAAAAAAAAAAAAAAAACGCTGCCACGGGACCGCGGGCTCTTCGGAGAGGATACGAATTGGAGCAGCCTTCAGAGCGAGCTTTTCCAACTAACAGTATGAAAAACGTTGATTGCGTGTATAAAGAAGCCCTTTGTGATTTCTCAATGTTAATGTAACCACATCTACTTAATAGTTCTTCTTCAAGCACCCAGTCGTGTTATCACACTTATCAAACACAAAAAGTGACCGTCGTCATTACAAGTTGTTGCAAAAGGTTATCACACGACAGTGTCACCCTGCGATGTTATAAAGTCAAATAACGCACGTGCCATTGAAGTGTCAAACCCAATCGAGATGCAGAAAGCATCGGCAGGTGGGATGGGGAATCAACGCAGAAGACCACTTTCGAGTCCCAGTCATGTCCAAGTTGTCTTAAGCAGACGCACAGGGAACCACGCAGCTTCCATGCTCGTAGTCTGGCACAAAGTGCACATTTCGTCACAGACTGGTGAAACAGTACGTTACTCTATGGGTGAAGTACGTTGAATGGCCCGCGTAGTGAAACAAAACGTTGTTGAGAAATATTGATAAGCATGTTTCAAAATATAAGTGCACTAAAGCTTCTTTTTTTGTTTTTTGAGACAAAATGCAAAGCACTGCGAGAGGCAGAGAGCACCAAGTTAATGTCCACGGAACAAGTAACGCGTAGCATAAACTATATTCTCACGTTTGACGAATGTAAAAATTATTTTGACAACACTGCGTTTGCAAAACGTTGGCAACGCTGGCAAAATGCATTAAAGTATGGCAACACTGCGCAAAAAATTTGGCAATTATGTTTATTTTTGGCTACATTTGGTACATTATAATAACATTCTGGCAACGTGTTTGTTTGTCTTTGTTATTTTTAGGAGAGTCTCAAACTTAAAAACGTTCAGTTACATGTTTTTATTTAAATACAACACTTGAGTGCATATTTTAAAATTCAACGTACCTCTGAACTTTTTTATTATGGGCACAGTTTTATTGTTTTGCTGGCGGAGTTGTCCTGGTCTGGCAACCCACTGCCGCGAACCCGCGACCGCGTTTTTATTTAATCATCATGTTTGGAAACAAACAAAGAGAGAAATAAAAACAAAGAAAAGCATTGGCGGCAGCGTGAGCCGTGAAAACAGAACCATGTGTACGAGGTGAGACAATATAGGCCTTAGGAGGTGATCAATACGTGAAGTTCTGATAAGCCGCCGAGAACTCTGGACTCTGGCAACTGGTGTGACACTATCCGAAGCTGTGTGGGAAAACGTCCGATTGTCGGGAACGTAGACGGCGAACCCCCCGGAGGCGTGCGAGAAGCTTGAACGCGCTAGGATAAAGTCTGAAAGCTAGGATGAAACTAAAGTACCCCTCGACATCGCATGCAGAGACGTCAAAGCTCACTTCGTCGATGTCGTGAAAATGCAGCAAGTATTTGGCGACGAACAGGATCACTGTAAGCACAGATCATTTCCGTGATCCTTGCAGCATGCGAGTTTGTAAGCATGCCTGTACGTTACGCCATTGCAGGTTCTACTTCGCCTGTACGAAAAAACCTTTATCCCCTCGATAGTGCTCCGGCGAAAGGTGTCAGCTGGGAATGGCGGACGAACAGCGGAAAGTGGTACCCTTAGAGCGTGCATCTTTCTTGTCTCATTGAAAAAGGCAAGGCGCACGTATGTAACTTCATTTTTCAAGTTGCGTTGTTGCATGTAATGGTCAATCTCAAAATGCCCTTAGTGTCCCCTTACAACAGCACGGCTAAAAATCGGCATGCCCCGCCGCGGTGGTCAAGTGCTTACGGTACTCGGCTGCTGACCCGCAGGTCGCGGGGTCGAATCCCAGTTTCGGCGGCTGCATTTTTGATGGAGGCGAGAACGCTGTAGGCCCGTGTGCTCAGATTTAGGTGCACGTTAAAGAACCCCAGGTGGTCGAAATTTCCAGAGCCCTCCACTACGGCGTCTCTCATAATCATATGGTGGTTTTGGGACGTTTAACCCCACATATCTATCCAAAAATTCAGTGTGGGCTCGGGTCACCGTAATTGCTAGTACCTATGGAAAAAAAAAGTGTTCTTTTAACTGGTTATAACTTGTTTCTATGTTGTTCGTTTCAGCTACCATATTACGAATTGCTCATTAGTCGTTCTGAAAGGCATATAAAAGTGTTTATTATAAACTTATACCCGTGCCACGTTGACACAGGAAATGATATTTGGTAGTGAAGGCATTCAGTTCCCGAATGACATTTTTTGGGGCGGAGTTGCTAATCTTCCAAAATGAATGACATTCGACTTGGATGTTGTCAATCGCACCATCTTCTGTAGTTAGCAATTGTAGAGTAGTAGTAGAAAAGTAAATGTGCGTTCACACACTACATATACCTCTGAGAAGAAATAAATGCAGAGATAAGCATATTATACTGTCGTTAGATTTAGTTCAGTACTTTGTTTCACGACATTGTAACCGACCGTGTAGCAACCTAAGCCAAAGCTAGTCAGATCCGCAGAGTAAAAAAAATGGCACCTGTCGCATTTATTTTACAGCGTCTACCAGCTGCTAATAAGTTTTTAAGCACTTGTTTAAGTGGTCAGTGTGAATAAGAGAAGCAAAACGTTTCCTTTCAGCCGAATAAAATGTCGTTGTATATTACTTCATCAGCTTTGCCGTCGAGAGTACGCATTTCTCAGTCAAATGGCGAAGGCAGTCCTGTGAGATATAGCCATTAATATTACATTCAAAATAAGTTTCTCACAGTGTCACAGTAAATTTGGCACTGTATAATGAGCATCCAAAATACACATTTCCCAATCTGGCGACTCAAAAATGATAAACAAAAAAAAGACCTCTCAGACTCGATAATTGCTGTTGAAAACAAACATAGTTTATACAAGAAGTGACATTAGGTGAAATTTGGGGCCCTCTGGCATTCCTAAAGTCTTTTTCTGGAATAATAGTACATTGCCCCCTGACATGAACTTTCCAGTGGTGTGTCTCCTAGTTCACTGCCCCTAAAAAGATTTAAGAGCTACTCTCGCACTGGTTTATCGCTGAAATATTTTTTGAAAGCCTGTCTTTGTATCTGGTTGAGCTGTCAGCATATCAGAAATAGGAGACACCTTAAAAAATATGCGCATGGTTGCATCCCAGTTTCCACTTTCACGCACTGTCATATGATACAGTAAATACCACGAGAAAGCGAGTAGGCTGTTACTGGCACCATAACGCGAGCATGACTCGAAAAAATGTACACGGGAAACTTTCTCGTTCTGTCTTCGTGATTCAAACAATTTGCACGCTCCTACTATGAAATAAGAAAAGGACCAAAGAGATAACAGTGGAAACAAGCACCTACACGGTGATCAAAGCATGCACAGGACAGTTTGCTGATAAAGATGAGAGTTCTACAAGACAGCGCACGATGCATTCGCACTTTCTTTCCAGGCTAAACTAATCGAACATGCGTGAATGTTTCACAGCATCGACGCAATAACACATCGTTACAGGCAAGCAAATGAGTGGCATAATAACATTTTTGCAGCATTTCACCACAAAACACCCCAACATATTTTGCTTACATAAGCAGCATGTCATCGTGCGCGCTTCTTCGTACATATTAGAAGCAGCGGATGCAGTCATTTGCTAACGGCAAACGTTGACAATAAGTGTCAACAAAGGGGCATTACGGCTCTGGCCAGCGGTCTCACAGTCATGAGAGCTCACGAAACAAGAAGCCTGAACCGTTTTGCCACCGAAGTGACCTTCACATGTTTGTGTACTCGATTGACCGGCTCGAAACAAATTGCAAACACCTCTTAGCACACGAAATACCGATGACGACGGATGGGACACGGAATGTGCTTCTTGCCGGCTTTCGTTTGTTCCACTTCACAGGAGGAAGGCATATTCATATACAAGGTTGTCTGTGATCAAAGTTTTTCATAGTTTTTCACCTCGCCACAGCTTGTCACAACTTCAAACGGACTGTGAATGGTAAAATAAAAAGCGCCGTGGCAGCCGTGACGTTTTGGTGACGCGCACTTGCAGTTGTTGTTTTTTTTTCATTCTGACGTACTGAACTTCGTCTCAAATGGTGCAGTATGTGTAGAAAATGAGTCTGTGAGACGACCTGAAAGGTTTTGATCTGTTTGGGGTCAGATATGATAATATGCGACGATGCGAACGTGTCGCAAGTGGTCGGCGTCATATGTTTTGGCACTCTCTCTATTGGAAAAACATAAGAATGTTTTTACCCATTCAAGCAGGCCAAGCAAGTGCTGGTACCCTTTGAAGATACAATAATTTTTTTTCCTGAACTGTAACATTCAAGGTTACTTTTTCACTCGCGGTTTAAGCTCTCGCAGCGACTATCGTCCGTATATGCGATAACATGTCTTGGCGATCACTACATTTGTTTGTTGCTCACAAGCTGTTGTCTATCTTTTGGTGCATTTTTAATAAACCCTTATTACTCGCTCGTTCATCGCCCATGGGAGTGGACGAAATTGGAAGTGGTAGTGCTGGTACACAAAAATCGATGGTGCAGTTTACATGTCAGAACGCTTCTTTTTCTTTCTTTTTCTTAGAGTCGTGGGGTTCGATTGGATTAAGGCAGCGATAAAGTGAATATAGTTCTCAGCGTGCTTGCACATACCAAAGCTGTAACGTGTGTGCTAAATAAAGTTTGTTGTGTTTTAGAGATCCAGCGTTGCCGCCGCTCTTTCTTGTTTAAAAAATGATGTTTGGGTGGTACCCCTCTAGAGTACCAACGTTTCCTGTGTGTGTGTGTGTGTTTGGCACCTTTCTGCGCATTCGACAGCCATAGCCATCCTACTGCCCGTATTTTTGCCAGGTGCACGCTGCCGCTGGCGTGCACCTGGCAAAATGATTGGCGGCGGCGCACGGCCACTTTTCGTCGGCGGTGTGGAAACCGAAACTACAATTTCAAGAAAAAAAAACTACTTTACTGTGTTTGTTCTGCTTATTTAGTTGAAATTCAGTACTCTTAACAGTAATGCCTGAGAGAACAGCATGGAGATGTAATAGGACTGGCAAACGCTTCGTAAATGATTTGTTTTCCAGCATACATATTCAATATAGGCTCTTTCAGCGCGTGCCGTTTGTTTACATAGCTAATTAACACTGTATCACAAAAAAATTCATTTTTTTTATTCTCACAGCAATGCCATTATATCTGCTAGGTATTATGCCTTATTAACTAACACATTGTTTTGTTGTTACTTTCAAGTAACTGCTAATCTTTTATTTATTATAAAAAGTACGACTTGCCTCTGTAATGCCTTCCTGCCTTGAGGCTAGAATAATGAAGGAGCCTCTTTTCAATGGGAAAATAGGGGCAAGTAGAACTCGCAATCTTTGTACGGAATGTATTGCTTTTTTTTTGCTAGTAAAAGACAGGTGGGCAATTGATGTAGGTCACAATAGCATGTAGTGATTCATGAAACACACGAGAAAGGCACCAATTCGTCTCCCATCAGGGGACACTGCTCAGTGACTTATGATGCACGTGCTACAACGCAGCGAATACAAAAATAATGAAATGAGTATAGGACTACATGCGGTTTTTTTTGTTTCCATTTTTAAAGACTCCATTCTTGTAAGACGCGAGGGGGTGCAGGGGGGGGGGGGTGGAGTGGAGAGCAGGGCTTGAGTCTCGTTTATTTGTGAGACCCCTTTTTATCTACATACCAGCCTATACTCTCTCCCCCTTTCTTTCTCTTAAAAGGAGTACTGAAACGAAACAAAATTTTGAAAGTGAAATGACCTGTGAAACAGATTTGTGTAGATACACACATCATCTATGAAATGTAAATAAATATTCTCACCCAGAACACATTCAAAATTAATTTTATATCACGTGGCGCCCTACGGCATACTGATTATGCCTTCGTCATTCGGGTAAACAAAAAACCACAGCCCTTGTCACGAGTTTTGTGTTGGCTGCTCCTGGCGAACCATTTCAACGGAAAGAGGGGCAGACTTGTACGGGAATACAAAGGCTGGTGTTTGAGCTTCTTATGTGATTCTTAAATGAGAAGCAGATAAAAGTGATCCCCGTAACTGTCTCTCGTGGGAGTACACCTAAGCAGTAGCTCACGAGGGATGGGGGTAAGGAGGGATTAAAAGGATAGGATTAAAAGGTATTGAGATATAGAGAGGGGGGAAGGCGAGAGCATGGTGCAGGGACAGCGACATCCAGAAGTAATGAGAAGATAGGAAATATGGACACGGTCGCAGAAGTCCGAGGACGGGGCACCACTCAGCGAGAGCTCTTGTCGGGGTCAGGAGATAGCGTAGGGCGACCCAGTCGGCCAGAGCTGCGCTGTCATAGGAGATTGCGGGGGCACAGCCGGTCGGCACGAAAAACAGTGAGCGAGCCCGGTGTTTGAGCTTCAGCGGCGTTTTTCGAAGGGGTGACGCATATTCAACTGCCGGAGAGGTGATCACAGGAGCGCCCACAAAACGTTCGTTGAAAAGACTTATCGACATGGTGATTCACGTGCATGCGGTTTTGTGCATCCACCTAGCCAGCTGTAGCTTTGCACGGAAACCTAGGATTCCTTCTCCATGCGAAAAACCCTCTGGGTCCCGCCTCACTCGGCACTCTGTGGAACCAAGACTTCAACAATTAACATCGCGCGCTCGAGCAAACGAGC